ATTTCATAAAAAAAAATCTTTTAAAACATATATTTATCATTATTATCATTATTATCATTTCTTAACCGAAAACATTTGACATATGTTCGAACCCTCAGCAAGCAAAGAAGTGAGGAAAGGTTTTTTCTTTTTTTTTTTTAACTAACCTTCGATTCAAAAAATATATTAAATTTTAATTAATTTAAAATCAAATCATATCGAATTTCATAAAAAAAAATCTTTTAAAACATATATTTATTCATAAAGTATAATTCAAAACTTTATTTAAAAAAATTAAATTATTAAACTCAAACTAACAAATCATTAATAAAAAAAGTTTTTTATATTTAGAGAATTAAGTAATCAACCGACCGTCCTTAATCCTTCATAAATCATAATTAATTCTTATGTGTTACTATTAAAAAAAAGAAAAGAAATTTTGTAATATTTTAACATTTAAAATGTTAAAATATCTAATTACGTGTTTTCATTTCTCATTTTTTATCAAATAAATAAGTGTACTTTGTTTTGGATTATGCACCAAACATTGAATTGCACAATTCATGAAACAAAAATTTCCAATATTGCAGAGTACTTTCAAACTCAATCCATGTCACCAGTAATACGTAGTCATAATTCTAGACAAGGATTAGTTAATTTTAACAAGTAAAACAATGCTATACACAATTTGACAAAAATAAATGTTGCAAAAAGCACCATTGTTAAGATAGTTATCAGTATATATCTCACTACAAACAACCTTAAGCAATTGCTGTTTGGAATTTATTGTAATAAATAAATAAAGACATAAATTAAAGAGATAACTTTTGTAATGATTTTTAAAAAAAAATTTAATAAATATTGAAAACATATATAATAATTTTAACAACTTGACTCTAAAAGTGTTTTAAAGCTTTTATTTTTTTAAAAAAATATATGAGCTTTCTTAAATATTTTATAATAATATAAAATCCAATTCAAAAAATTACAATTTTACAGTAGGTGGCCCTTTTCTCTTTTTTTTTTTCTACTATAAAAAAAATTCTTATCCCCTAATCTCTTTGCTCTTTTTACCTTTTCTTTCGTTTCTTCCTCCCGTCCAACGGCTCCGATGACGCCATGAATTCCATCCAAACTTTTTTTTTTCAAATTTCTCTCCTAATTTCCATTATATTCTAAATCTAAAGCGAAAAAAATTTCCTTTTTCACTGACTTCTCAATTTCTACTTTCTTTTACATTTTTTTTAAATTCTTTCTTCAAATCTAGGTTTTTGATCTAGATTCTAGAAACAAATTAAACACTTGAGTGGAAGAAGTAGAGGGAACTTCCTCAAAAACCAGCCAATCTCTTCTTTGGCAAGTTTCCAAATAGCGTGGATTCCGTATCTGATTATGTTTTTTCTTTTTGTTTCTCTTGGTGTGAAAAATTCACATCTGGTTTTTTTTTTTTTTTTATTGTTTACCGTGAGAGTGGGTATAGATATATACAGACTAAAAATCTGTTACATAATATTCTAGCCGGTGCAATCATTTTCAATCGACATGGCCAAGATTTGAAGCAATACAATATTAGAAGATTTATGTACCGATTTTGTGTCAAAATCGATACATATGGATTTCACTAATTGGTACGGTATGATATTTACAATCTTGGCAAACATTACCTTTTACAGTACTACAGTTCTGGTTGCATGCACTTTTCTTAATGTAGTAATTGAAGAAATGCATAACTTGAAACTCCATGATATCGATGAGGATGTGATGTTGAAATGGCGGGTGGTGATCAATGATTGTCTATTTTTGAATTTAACCATGGAGTTTAATTGTAATGGATCATTGAAGAAAAATTGCACATGCTTACTTTAATTTGAAGGTGTCGGCAAATGTAAGTTACATTGAATAACTTAAATAAGTCAGAAGAGTAAAAAAAGTTCGATATTAAACTATGTAATATTTGTTTATGTAATAGTACATAATTTTTTTATGGTCATCTTCTTAATGAAAGTATTTTTTATTAATGTTTATAATATTATAGAAAGTCTAAAATAGTGCCAAAAAATTTATTTTTGAACTATTTTGGTGGTGTAGCCTTTCATTATTATTTACCAAGAGGAAGTGTTATATATTTTAAATATATAATGGATTATTTATATTAATTTATATAATATCCCATTATATTATATAATATATAATTTGACATAATATTTGTTGTGGCATTGTCATTTTTACTTTATCATAAAGTTCAACACTTCACTATATACTTAAAAAGAAAGTGGTTTAACTAATTAAAAGTATAAAATTTTAAATGAAAAATTTTATATTCAAATGTTAAGTTGGGTTGTGAAAGATTTGAAAAAATAATGACATGTCAAGAGAATTTAAAACAAGGAGAGTTGTATTAGTAATAAACCCCAACACTAAATCCATAAAATTCAATGAAAATAAATTTACATCAACTGATATAATTTATAATAAATGAATATATAAACTATCGAATGCTGATAATAGCAACACACATATACTAGCAAATTATTTATTAAAAAAAAACCCTAAGAAGTTACAACAAATAAAAGAGTACAATAGTTCACACAGCGTACAACTTAACTACATTCCTAATTTATAAAAAAAAGTAGTCTCATTCATCTTCAAGTTGAATGTAGATAGAAAACTTGATAATGCATCCACATTTCTTCAAGTTCTTTATTAGATCTCGCAACCTGTCATATTGTTATATAATATTCCATTATGCCAACAAAATAGCATCAATAAAAGCCAAAGCAAACAGATTCAAAAGTTTATCACAAAGAGTAGAACATAAAGGATAAAAATTGTTTTTGTTGAGAGAGAAGGTAGACTAGAAAAGATAAATACAAATGAGACATACCTAGAACTATGATAAATATCCAAGCAACTCAGCCCTTTATCTCATGTCTATCTCCAATTAAATCTCCCAAACTTATCATTGAATATGGCTTTGGCAATGGAGATGGTCGACCACTTGTAAGAGCTTGATAAACCTGTTGCATAGTGGGGCGAAATTGAGGATTGGAATGCAAACATGTAAATGCTAGGTTTGTGGTAGCAACCACTTGCTCAGCCACCTTATTCCTCCTTTGAGGTTTAAGGCATTGGTCTATGACATCCTTCAGCAACATTTGCTGGCCATTTGGTGTCCATAAATCTGAAATAAGATCACCTGGATGCCTTCCCATAATTATCTCCATTGTTACCACCCCAAAACTATAGACATCACATTTTTCACTTGCTTGCATCGTGTAAGCAAGCTTTGCAAAAGCAAGTCTAGTTAGTTATAAAACAATATAATAATTTCTAGAGTTTATTAGAAGATATCAAATGAATGAAATACCTGGAGTTGTGTAGCCAAATGTGCCTGCAAAGGATGTCCAGTTAGAGGAATCTAGCTTCAAAATCCTAGCTGTACCAAAGTTTGAGACATGAGCTTCATAATCCAAATCTAACAAAACATTGTTGCTAGAAATGTCAAGATGGATTATTGGTGAAGGGCGATCATGGTGCATGTAAGATAAAGCACTCGCTAACCCTTTAACAATGTTCAATCTCTTATCCCAATCCAACTCTGTTGCTTCTTCTGGGTTGCTCAAAACTGTCTTCAAGCTCCCCCTTTCAACAAACTCATAGATCAGGAATGAATACTCTGCATTAGAACAAAAACCATACAACTTGACAATGTTACGATGTCGTATGTCTGCTAAAGCACGAATCTCACTTTCAAATGCTCGCAAATTGATGGATTGACTGTCATCTGATGGGTTAAGTTTCTTAACTGCAACAACTTGACCAGCTGGCAACAGAGCTTTGTAAACATTTCCGTATCCTCCTGAGCCAATGCAATAGTTGGAGTTGAATTGCTCTGTAGCTTCAAGAATGTTTTCATAGAGGATTTCCCCATCATATCCCCGTAAGGCAAATATATCCCGAAATTGGTGCTCTTTTATCTCAGATTTTTTGCAATGAATAAGAAGTAAACA